ATTATATTATACTGTTATCTGAGGTCCACTTACGACGTTTGCGTGGTTTTTACATTCAAAAACATTAAAAAAAACAATAAGTAATAGGCTATTTTCTACCCTGGTTTTGAGGCCGGCTCGAGAAACGCTTGGGTTTTTATGGACGTGCTGCATTGAAGACTTTGAAGTAAACGCCCACTGCTATGATTGGATAACAGTTTTGCATAGTAAACTAACTTTCTGTGTGTCTGTTTGACAAGCTACGTCCTTCATAGTTGGAGTTGACTTTGATTAGACATGTACACATAAAATTAGGACATATCAAGCGATCTCTAACAAAGTAATAGTGATACATAGTACAAATATTTTTTACTCACATAAGTGTGCTGCGCTATTGCTTTTTAATCTCAGTCTCTCTGCGAATCCATCGTCGACCTGTGTCTTGTTTACAAAGGAATCCGCGGCGAAATGAAGTGAACACTCAATGTATTACACACGTGAGCTGAAACTTCATTAAAAATAAAGTTCAACCACGCATTCCTAATATTTGAATCCGAAGGAAGGTTATGCTGTGACTGTGTTATTCCACAACCAGGCACTGCACAATATTTTGCAATCTTCAACGGCATGTTTATTTCTTGGTTGCTCGATTCGGTTTAGCACCACTTATGTTATTTCACTACGATGCCATGTGTGAATCAGTGGGCGGGGCTACAGAATTAGATGATATTCTTCTCTGGCGGCGGTTTTAACCTATCTATTATGTCATAGGTAGGCACATTCCAGGATCTGGCGTTCGCTCGGCCTGGTGTCAATAAAAGCTTTGATTTCAGTAACAAGGACGTTTTCAGTGTGTGTGTATGTATATGTATATAGTCAACATTTGTGTGTATATGTATATAGTCAACAGAGTAGTCAACATTTGAAGTGGATCAAAACCTTTCATAAAAGTTGTCCTAAAACCTAAAACCAAAATGCGTTCTTGTCTTAGGACAGCCTTGTGTGTATATTTATAACAATATTAATGTTTTTTTAAACAATAATACATTTCTAATAACTTTCTAATAATATATATTAATAATAACAATAAGTGTGTGTATGTAAATGTATGTATGTATGTATGTGTATATATACATGCGCACAATGTGTATGTTATTATTATAACAATGAATATTATTGTTTATTTTATATATATATATATATACAACTGAAATGTTCCCAGACAGAAACGTAGTAAGGACATCGGTAAAACAGTCCATGTGACATCAGTGGCTCAACTTCAATTTTGCAAAGCTACGAGAATAATTTTTATGCGCAAAGAAAACAAAAATTACATAATTTATTTAACAATTTTTCTCCCCCGAGTTACGTCTTCTGCCATTTTGGAGAGTACCCAATAACGTAATCAGCGTTGTTTTCGTTAGGAGGGGAAAGCACACGCATGAACGTAATCGGCGTAATCAGCATTGTTTACACTTAGGGTAAAGCATGCATATGCATTGTGATACTCTCCAAAATGGCGGAAGACAGTAACTCGGGGGAGAAGAAATGTTCAATAAAGCCATCATTTTTGTTTTTTTTTGTGCACAAAAAGATTTCTCGTAGCTTCGCAAAATTGAAGTTGAACCACTGATGTCACATGGACTGTTTTACCGATGTCCTTACTACGTTTCTGGACTTGGGAACATTTCAGTTGCGCTGCTGTCTATGGAGGGTCAGACAGCTCTCAGATTCCATCAAAAATATCTTAATTAGTGTTCCGAAGATGAACGAAGGTCTTACAGGTTTGGAACGACATGAGGGTGAGTAATTAATGACATAATTTGCATTTTGGGGTGAACTAACCCTTTAAATTATTAAAACTGAATGAGTTTATGCAGAATTTAGCAAGAAATCAATTAACTGTTTCAATTATTGTCTTTTTGTTGAGATTAATAATTATTATTACTGTCAAATTCACTACTGACTGATAGTTCGCACAAAATTTTACTCACCCTCATGTTGTTTCAAACCTGTTTGTTGTTTCAAACCTGAATGACCTGTATGATTTTTTTTAGTGGGACACAAAAGTAGAAGTTTTAAATAATATACTAGTCACTCTTACCCATTTAATGGAAGGTAAAGGGGGTTGTAAAGCTCCAAAATGTACCAAAAAAGTCACCATAAAATGGGTCCATACAACATGTATTGTATGGACCAATATTCCAAATTCCAATATTCCAAACCGTTATTCTCTGAAAAGTTCTAAAATGAACTACAAAAGTCATACATATACAAAAATTATGTGTCAACAGCAGACATCATAGGTTCTCACATCTTGATGACGTGATGTCAGTGCCACCATATTTGATATGAGAGTTGCAGCTTGTAACATTTGTTTCTTTCCTCATACAGAGCTTTCATATAGCTTCAGAAGGAATGTAGTGCACAAGTCGCATGGACTACTTTTAATGTTACTTTTATGTTGTAACCCCAGTCCCTATTGACTTTAATTATATGGGAAAGAGCAGCAGATTAGTCAAAAATCTTATGGATTTGGAGCATGAAGGTCAGTAAAATGTGACAGAAGTATCATTTTTGGGTGAACACTTTGGATGATCTCTTTTAAAAAGGGAAAGCATGCTTTTAATCCGTTCAGTTGACTGAATTAATCATTTACAGGCAAATGGAAAATGTAGCCCGCACTGCTGCTTTGGATACTGAATCCTGAAGAGACACTCACAACGTTTTTGTCCCTCGAAGGCTTTAAATTGTCATGACTTTTGACCCCTTGCTGGTGGTCTTGTACTTACCATCATCATGTGGTTTCAGTGCTGCCCACTCACTATGCAATTTTTCATGCTGATTTTGGTTTTTTTGTTGTATTGCTGGAGGCATAACAGAATAGTTTCTACGTAGTTGTGCTAGTTTCATATTTCTCATATTATATCTTTTTACAGCCTGTTTCTTCTCACATGTAATTTCAACTGGAATCAATATCTATTTATTAATTAATTTGGTAAGTAGCCATTTAATAATAATAATAAGGGATATTTTTCAGTATAAGACCTGATCAGCGTGTCAGGGTGAATGTTGTGGTAATGAGCAGCTGACTATACAGTTTATTAAAGACGTGAGTGATTTTGTTTGTGTCTTGTGGACAGCATGGCTCATGTGTCACTGTGGTCTATCACTCATTTTTAGACTGCTGCTAAAAGCTGGGATTGACATCAACAGAACCACTAAATCTGGAACGGCTCTGCACGAGGCTGCCCTCTACGGGAAAACGGAAGTAGTAAAATTATTGCTTGATGTAAGTAGATAGATACAAAATATTGGAAACAGTGTTGATGTTTTTACGTGTGTATTTTCTGTACCTTCACAAGATGCACTGTAGGGATACATGATTTATTTATAATGAACTCATGTCAGATTTATTATCAAGAAAAAATACTGTGAATTATAGTAATTATAGTCTTACCAGAGTAAAGTGCTTGAGTCTGTCTGTCATATCAGATCGCATACAGAGTTTATTTTCTTACCTGAACTAACCCTCATATATCAATCCCAACACTTCACTATCTGACACTTAGGCTGGGATTGATGTGAACATCCGCAACACCTACAATCAAACAGCCTTGGACATTGTGAACCAGTAATTCTTAGGTTTTCAGTCAATATGAGGGCCTTAAAGATTGCTAAAACCCATAGTGGATGACTTGAATATTTTCAAGGCAAACTGTTTCTTTCTTTCTCTCTCATTCTCATTCTTTCATGCATTCATTGTCCTGGCTTATGACATCAGATGCCAGTGGAGCATTACAGGTGAGAGCTTTGAAGGACTACTGGAATCTTCATGACCCCACTGCACTCAACATCCGGGCAGGAGATATAATCATGGTAGGCTTTTCAAGCAAACACCCCACTATTTCTCACAAGAGAACTCCTATTTTAATACTGTATAATGTGCATTATGTAATAGCCCTATATAATTGGCAATGTGCTTGAGCGTTGCCTTGATCTGCATTCCTACTAAATTACTAAACCATATTCTGATGAATCACAGAAACATCAAAACAACAAAGTTGTTTAGGCTTGTGGAAAAACAGTAGAGCTGAAAGCGGTTTTAGAATGCTTTAAATATGGAAGACCGCACACGGCATTACATATAATATTTCTAACTGATGTAATTATGACCTGCACACAAGACAAAGCTGTAACTTGAACAAGTGAGGATGGTAATTTGGTGTTCCTTACAGAGAATACGTTAGCATGCTGCAACAGGTTCCCACCAATCAGCATTTGATGTCTCAAATGAATCAACTGTAGCTTGTTGTTTTCGTGCTAAAGTAGTGTGTGTTCAGCCTAGTTTACCTTCATAACAGTGTGCTTACCCCTACTAAAAGACTTGTGTTCGGAGTGTGTACTGTAGAGTGCAGCCTAAGGCTCTGTGCTGCATGTATGCTATGTCATTGTTCACACCTTGTCTGTCTAGATAGCTTTAGGCGGCCATTTCTGCTAGCATAAAAGATTTCTGTGTTTTTGTGGCAGTGAGACATAACAGAGACGTTAAGGTTTTTAAAAGCTAGCAATGAAAGATACTTTCACTCAGACTGGCGTTAGAATGGCATTAAAATAACAATAAATAAATAAATATGTTGACCTTTTAAAGAGCAGTTTTGAAAATGAAGCACTATGGAGCAAATTCACTAAACGGTGTGCCTTATTTTAGTGCAAAAAACTTCAGTCTTATTCTCTAATAGCAGCAGTACAGTTTAACCAGGTACTTCAAATGCTAAAATAGCTCTTTCCTCGCAAACATGTCCACTTTCATGTAAATTTTTAATAATTTGCACCTTCGGTTCACATAACTTTTCATTATCTGCCTGGCATAACTAGCATTGTGCTATTGCTGCCTGCAAAAAAGTGGTAAATTGGATTTGTTTAAGAAAGAAATGTTTGTACATTTTTTTTTGTTCATGGCAGTAGTTATTTCGGTATTGTTAACAAAATCTAAAACTATTACTTCATTAATTGAAGTAAAGCTAAAATAAAATGTAATTATTAGACAAAATCCTTAAACTTTTTAAAACTTTAAATGCTGCCTTGGCAACTAACTAAAATAAAGTAATATGTATATGTCTTTTTTAATAAATCTGCAAAAATGTCAACAATTCTGTGTTTTTCTGTCAATATGGGGTGCTGTGTGTACATTAATGAGGAAAAAAAATGAACTTAAATGATTTTAGCAAATGGCTGCAATATAACAAAGAGTGAAAAATTCAAGGGGGTCTGAATACTTTCCGTACCCACTGTATATACACATATATAAATATATACATATATAAAATGACAAAGCACCTAATAAAATTCAAAAAAAAAAAAAAGTAAATATAATAATTAAAAGCTAATCCAAAATATTAAGAAGTGCTATAATAATATAAAAATAACACTGGTCAGTTGCAGGATAGAGCAGTTAAATGTTATACAATAATGCTAAACTTTGAATAAACCCAAAATCAATATATAATAATGCAATATTTCATGTCTATTTATTTACTCAGTTTCACATTGGGCACGCAATCATGCAAGGTTCATGTTTCCACCATTACCTAATTTGTATGTTTTCTTTAGTGAATAGACTCTTAAAACAACTCAGACAGTCACTGTACATAAACGGCAAATTTATTCTTAGTGTCTTTTTCCAGGCCCGCTTGAAACAATTTCATGTCAGTCAAATGGACTGACTTTCATTGCTACACAGGTCCTCTCTGCCATGTGTGGAATGTCGGCTGACTTCATTTACTGCATTGTTTGGCCAAATGAGGAAACAATCACAGGCTAAGCCATGAGGTTAGGAAAAAAGGTTAGAAGGTGTTATTTAAAACTAGATGACACAAAGGTCATTTAGCTTTGAATAGTGTAGGGTACACAGAGGGCTAAAATTAAATAATAAATTATTGAAATAATTCCACTCAATAAAAGAAAAAGTCTCATTAGCTATTCAATTCTTTAAAAGGTTTTAAGAAGACCGTTATTAATATTATAAAATGTGCAGGCATTCAAAGAGCTGTTGGCCCTGAATATCCTGTCATCGTATTGGTCTGTTCCAGGTCTTAGAGCAGCACATGGATGGACGTTGGAAAGGGCACATCCATGACAGTCAGAGAGAAACTGACCGTGTGGGATTCTTCCCTCCCTCCATCGTGGAAGTAATCAGTCGCAGATCAGGTATATTGAATAATTCTGTGTTCAACTTACACAAGTATTTACCGTATTGACCCAAATATAAGACGATGTTTTTTTTCTTGGAAATACATCTGAAAAAACGCAGTCGTCTTATATTTAGGGTCTAGACTTTGACATATCAATAATACACCCACAACAATAGGTGGCGCCAAATACGCATATAACGAGTGTGCCATGAAATGTAATGCGTGTTGTAAAGATCGCGAGTAATAAGTGACGTGACATGACAGGAATTAGTGCTCTGCATTTAACCCATCCAAAGTGCGCACACACAGCAGTGAACACACACCCGGAGCAGAGGGCAGCCATTTTTGCTGCGGTGCCCGGGGAGCAGTTGGGGGTTCGGTGCCTTGCTCAAGGGCACCTCAGTCGGGGTATTGAAGGTGGGAGAGAGCGCTGTACATTCACTACCCCCACCTACAATCCCTGCCGGTACGAGACTCGAACCTTACAGCTGCATGAGTCGTGACTGTCACGTTAGCCTGATGGGACAAAACTCCCTTTGTAATTTTAAAACGTAAGACAGTACCCAGATTTGAAGTCTACAGTAAGATTTAACTTCTACGGTTAATAAGATTTTGGTAGGCTACTATTAGATGGATAGCCTAAATGTCCTAATTCAGATGGGCTACCTGTTTTTGTTTTTTATGGTATATCAAAAAGTGTATATTTTTTAAATGTGATTGTTGGTACATTTTACCAGCTTTTACCATACTTTCAAAACAAAAATTAAAACATGAAAAATATGCAATATGAAAATAATTGAAGACAAAATGTGGTTTACTGAGAAAAAACAAGATTTGGTTTTTAAAAAGCCTTTTTCCAAAAGGTTCATCTGGAAAAAGGGGGGTCGTCTTATAATCAGGGTCGTCTTATATTCGGGCCAATACGGTACTATAAATATATGGTCTATTGTCAAAATTGACGATAACCTGTTACCTATAATTTTGGCTACATTTTCCACCAAAGTTAGTCAGGCACCGTTATTTTTTTGTATAACAACGCAGGATGCTACGGGGTACAAATCACTGACTCCATTAGTTTCTATTTTGTATTTAATAAAATATTCTTTCATTCTAAATGTTATTATCCGCATAAAAAGATTTGAGTGCAGATTAGAATTGAAAAATATCACCCTTTTGCTTTAAAGACAGCAGCACAAGTTTTTGACTTAAAAGTAGTGAATCATAATTTTTTTGAATAACACTTCAAAATCCTAATCCTAAAACTACTAATTAAGAATCCTAAAACTACTTCTCTATTTTTAGGTTTAAAATATAATTTGAATCCCAGTTTTTAAATGTGCTCTCTGACGTTTGTATCCCACAGTACGCATATCAAAATAATGCATACTAAAGTAGTGCAGTTCTCATAAATTCTTTTAGACGTGGACATGTAGTCCATTGATAAAGGCACACACAGACACACACTAATGGGATTAACAGGAACATATTGGGGGCAGGCAGATCAGCTTTAGAGCCCTGTGCCTCCTTGAAAGGGGGAGCCAGCCTTAGATTGCTAGGTCCTGAGCAGAAAATCTTTCCCCAAAACGAGTCTGGTATTTTATTTCTGTGTGAGAGCGAGCACAGCGGCAGACTCAGCATTCTGTCATGTCACAGCGTCAACATCCTGCTGCTCACACGAAATTAGCCTCCGCTCTAAGCTCCTGCCTCAATACTGCTGAAGAGACATGATGGAGGCAAAACAGGCATCCACTTAACTCATTGTGCTGTGGAGTTTCTCCCTCCCGCATTATCTTATCAGGATGCTAAAATCTCCCCAGGTTCATCTTAGTTTTTGAAATAAATGTAAGGAGAGGGGGAAAAAAGGCTTTTCTCTTTCATGTTAAAGAGAAAAATTTTTTTAATGTCATGTACTAACCTTCATGTCATTCTAAACCTGTGTGGCCTACTTTCTTTCTGGAACACGCGTGAAAATATTTTGAAAAATGTATTTTTATACAATTTTGGACCTCATTGACATTCATTGTGTGGACACAATTAATGTGGAACAAAATAAGAATGAGTAAATGATGATTTAATTTTCTTGTTTCACCGTTTCATTTTATTATTTGTTTAATAAATAATTAAATAAATGAATATTTACACTGCCATTCAAAAGCTTGGAGTTGGTAAGTTTTTGGCTGAATTTTTTTCCCCCATTTCTGATCAAAAATACAGTAAAAAAACAGTAGTATTGTCAAATATTATTACAATTAAAATATCTGTTTTGTTTTAATATATTTTATAAGGTCATTTATTCTTGTGATGGCGAAGCTGAATGTTCTGCAGCCATTACCCCAGTCTTCAGTATCACATGATCCTTCAGACAATCTAATATGCTGATTTGGTATTCAGAAAACATTTCCAATAATTATAAGTGTTGAAAATAGTTGTGCTGCTTAATATTTTTGTGGAAATCATGAAACATCTTTTTCAAGATTCTTTGATGAATACAAAACGCCAAAGAACAGCATTTATTTGAAATTTGTAACATTATAAACGTCTTTACCGTCACATTTGATCAAATCAATGTGCCCTTGCTGCATACAAGAATTAATTTCTTTCAAAAAAAATTGTACTGACCCCAAACTTTTATAAATTTCCATTAGTTTGAATTACTTAAATCATGTCTCTAGTGGAAACATCTTTCTCAACGCTGATGTTTCATTTGTGTCCGTGGTGCCTCATTTGTGTTTCCATGTTGTGTCCATAGGGGGCGTTCTCTCCCGGCAGGCCTCACTGCCCATCCAGAGACATCACATTCTGTACAGAACCTTGCCCTCACAAAGTTTTCATCACACCTCTCACACTGACGACTCCTACACCTTATACTCATCCACCCGTCCTGTACTGTCTCACCACAACGGGCGGGATCAGCACCCAGGTAGCGTGAGAATTAGTCTCCTAGGGCTAAATTCATGTACACACACCTGCAAAAGCAAGTCCCCATCCAAGAGCCCATCCAAGCATTTCTGAAAGCAAAAAACTCCTCCATCCCTGACCATGTGAGCAACATAAACTGTACTTTAATTCACCTTAGCCACATTTAGACAAGTTTCCCCAAAGTCCAAACTCATGGAATTCCTGGTCGAAATTTTGATCAGCACTGGCCATAAAGGCACCAATATACTCGGAGTGAAGTTCTTTTTCGTTTTTTGCTTAGGAGTTAAATGTTGTTTTAAATACCTTTGCAGCTGTATGCTGTTAGCAAACATCTCGACAGCACCCACACAGCTGAGAGCACCATTTAGATGAATATGTAAATATGCGCTGCCTGCTTTCCTCTCAATAACAAACACACAACAACGACAGTGGTGAGAAAACATAAGTTAAGAAGGCATCTGTTAGTAGTTCATGTGGTTATTATTGCACTCCAGTCAAGTTACGTTTATTTAGCACTTCATATAATAAATTGATTTAAAGCAAGCAGCTTTACAGTACAGTAACATAAAAGACAATGCCACTGTTGTTTTCAATTAGAATTACTAGTTCACGTTCTACTATAAAGCAGCTCTCCAGTATGTTTATGCTTTTACACGCGTCTGACATTGACAGACTAAACAGAAGAAATTAACCTATTACGTACTCGCCACGGATCAATGGTAGTTCAAAGGTTTTTAGCAGCTGCAGCAAACTTTTCCGGAAAGTTTGGTTTGGCAAGTCATACCAAACTCCAGATGAACTTTGTTGAACTTTGTCCTGATTTTGTTCGAAGTGACGTCACACCAGTTCGTTCTTCGAATTTGCTTGAAGTATATCGGGGCCTTAAGATTCCTAGAGTTTCCCCCCATGGCCCTTTAAAGTGTTTGTGTTTGCTAGGTGCGATTCCCGACAGTCCCAGTGCCCTGTGTAAGCCAGCTAGTCCCAAAGAGCCAGAGGATATTTGGGTCCTCAGGACCTCTCTTAATGGTAAGAGTTTTCCGTTTCCCCAGGCCCCTGTTCGTCATTAGCATCTCCCTGGCCTGTTTTCTCACCCCCACAGCCATCCGCTGGTCCAAAAGCCTGCACACCAGTGACTTTCGTCTCAAGTTGAGTTTTTTCCAGCTGTTTCACAGGGTTCCTGTTTCCTTAGGCTATATTTGTCCTATGTTTATCAGCCTACCATCAGCTTGCCATTCACATTGCTTAATTTGCACTAGCCCTCCTCAACATTCCCTTGTGCTCCTTCATGTTCCCCTTGTCTACAGAGACCTTGCTGGAGTTCAGAGATCGTGGTTGCTATCGTGGCAGTGTCTCACCAACTGTTTTTTCTCCTGTCTTTGTTTATTCCTCTTTCAGAAGGTGACAGGAACAGTGTGGGCAGTGCAGGCAGCATGGGCAGCAGTCGCAGTGCTGGCAGTGGACAGAGCACTGAGGGAAATAATGGACCCTATCAGTCACCGTCTGCTGTCCAGGACACCACCAAGGTGGGCTTCAGTCTCACACATCCAATGTTAAGCTGAACCAGAAAAAATTTATTTTATGATTTTGTCTGCACGTCCATCGGTTTTCATTAGGGAGCTGAAGCTGTGAGAAAACTGCGGAGAAATATGTAGCACTGATTAATTCACAAGATAGCGGGCTCATCATAGAACAGTACAAAGATTTCATGGTTCATAAAGGCACCAAAGGGAAAAAATAATTACTGTTATATATAGAAGTCCACAGAAGCCATGCATGATTATTTTTGCCTTGTTTTAGCCAAATCTTATTTTTCTTGTAATCTTGACAAAACAAGTTATTTTGAGTTTTTCTTAAGTTTACTTGAACAGCAAGTCAGAAAAATAACAATAATGATCTAGAGAACGTACCAATGTTAAATGACTATTATCCTGGTATTATTAGACTAAATATTTGTAATATACGACATATTTTAAAATAAACTATTAAACAAAAAAATTATGATAAATTAGGTCATTGGTATATTATATATTTCTATTTACACTAGTAGTCTCTTATGCTCACCAAGCATTTATTTGATCAAAAATACAGTAAAAACAGTAATATTATTACAATTTAAAATAACTGTCTTCTATTTAAATATATTTTAAAATGTAATTTATTCCTGTGATGGCAAAGCTGAATTTTCAGCAGGATTATTCCAGTCTTCAGTGTCACATGATCCTTCAGAAATCATTCTAATATGCTGATTTGGTGCTCAAGAAAGATTTCTTATTATTATCAAGGTTGAAAACAGTTGTGCTGCTTAACATTTCTGTTGAAACGGGGATATATTTTTTTCAGGATTCTTTGATGAATAGAAAGTTCATTTATTTTAAATAAAAATATTTTGTAAAATTAATAAATATCTTTACTGTCACTTTTTATCAATTTAATGCATCCTTGCTGAATGAAATTATTCAAAAAGAAAGAAAGAAAAGAAAAGAAACTTTCTAACCACAAAATTTTGGCCAAAAGATCTGGCAAATAGAAAAGGATTTTGCTCAGCAAGAGCAGTAATTAGAGTTCATATAGCCATCACATTGGTATTGCATAATTACAACAAAATACTCTGCATTTTATATGCAGCTGAGTGTACGGTTACTCATACGGCAGCATTTATTTAAAGGGGTAATATGACGTTGCTAAAAAATAACAATATTTGGTGTATTTGGCGTAATGAAATGTGTTCATGCGGTTTAAGGTTAAAAAAACACTATTTTCCACATACTGTACATGATTGTTTCTCCTCTATGCCCCTCCTTTCTGAAACGCAAAGCTCATCGTTCTGAAAAGCGAGGTGTGCTCTGATTGGTCAGCTATCTAGTGAGTTGTGATTGGCCGAATACCTCAAGCATGTGACGGAAATGTTACGCCCCTTACCATACCGTGATGCCGTGTCCCGGAGCGACGAGACAAAAACAATAAAACCCATTACAAACGAGGCATTTGTAGCATCCAGTGGGGACATAATTACGGATTATAATGACTTGTACTGTCTTTTTACGCGTTGCGTTGCGTATTGTGCTGCATAAAAATAAAACCATGTCTGCATTTGTGATCGGAGAAATGACAAACAACAAGCGCTACTCTATACTGCTCAAAACTCGCGTTTAAATCATCAGCAAATCCTTTAAATATGAAAACGTACTTATAGGCTGTGAGTCAGCATTATTATTTTGAGTTGTGATTGGCCGAATACCTCAAGCATGTGACGGAAATGTTACGCCCCTTACCATACCGTGATGCCGTGTCCCGGAGCGACGAGACAAAAACAATAAAACCCATTACAAACGAGGCATTTGTAGCATCCAGTGGGGACATAATTACGGATTATAATGACTTGTACTGTCTTTTTACGCGTTGCGTTGCGTATTGTGCTGCATAAAAATAAAACCATGTCTGCATTTGTGATCGGAGAAATGACAAACAAGCGCTACTCTATACTGCTCAAAACTCGCGTTTAAATCATCAGTGGCAAATCCTTTAAATATGAAAACGTACTTATAGGCTGTGAGTCAGCATTATTTGTCAGAACACTGGCATTGTAGGCTACTCTCCCAGGAAACAGTCTTCGTCCTCTGTAAAATGTGTTGCACACATCTGAATATTTGGTTTGAACTGTTCTGGAACAGTGTTGTAAATACAACTTAACCACTGATTTAGAGTTGTGCCCACTTTTGGAAGACCAAACAACAAAGTAGTTTCGCTTTCACAACGAAACACACAGCATCTCCACGGCATGCTGGCGGCGGCAACAATACTACAGCAAGAATCAAAGTTACACCACCGCGGGAACATTTGGGCATTATGCAAATTTTCCCACAGCGTGACGTAGCCATGTGGGGGCGTGTTTAAACGAGGCATTTTAGGAGGGCGTGGACAAGTCTTAACTTGTATAAAGAATATCTCTTTGGGTTTGAGACTTTAGTTTTTGAAACTTCAGGGATCTTATCTATTCACAAACAGCTTGTAACAATCCAAAGAGAAAGGAAAACTTGAAATACCATCATATGACCCCTTTAAACTACCATAGAGAACCTAATGTTGATCTCATGCTGTGATTTACCCCCAATATTCTCAATGATTGAGTCTGTAAACGTCTGTGACGGAGACCCTTTCATTTTATGTTCTTGCTGAATTATAATTAATATTCATATGTAGTAATTAGAATCTCTGTGTGAAGTTTCACAGGCAGTAGTCATCTCTCTAAGCTATTTGTGCCAGACAGCTGTTGAGTTAAATGTGACACAGTGCTGTGGTTTTCCTACATGCAGCTGCCTCCCTCTGCTGGAGAACTGGTGGAACAGTGCAGTCAGGCCCCTGACCCCGCAAAACAGACGGACCCTCATTCAGGTCAGAACCTCTGCTGTCATATATAAATTTCACTTATTTAATTTCTGAATGTCTTAAAAAATAACAGCCAGTTCTTTCTTAATTTTATTTAATTTATTTTGACATTTTAATTATTATTTAATATAATATCTAAAAAAAGCTCTGGCATCAATCAGTACATGCCACTCGGCTTAATATTATAAATTAAATATCCAATCCAGCAAAATGTGCCTTAAGTATCCAAATATGTTTAGGAGCCTCTGTATATTAAAGTTTAAAGACAGTCAGTTTAATGAAAGTTTAATCCACTCAATTTAAAAAGACTTTTGCACTGTCCTTTAGATAACTCGTATAATTTTTTATATTCTTGAGCACGTCCACTTGTTGTCTTGTCCATGAATAAGGCATTCAGAGCATCATTTAATACAAATGTCACCTCAGACCTGTGTAGTACTAGTCATTAGCTTATTTTTGTCTTAAAAAATAGCCATGTATTTCATAAATCTACTACAGTTTAAAATGGTGAAAAATGTTCCAAAGAAAAAAAAATGAGCAAGGCTTAAAAATACCTAATTTTTACTTCAAGACAGATACTGTGCAGTGTCAGATTTCACTAATAGGGAGGGATGCAATGACAGAGGCAAAGTTGTATGCAAGTCAGAAATACAGAGGAAAAGAAGAGAATTTGAGAAGGAGAGAAGATTATCAGTGACACGGACACAAGAGTGTTTTCGTAGTGTCTTTGACTCGAAGAGGATCTAAAAATAAGCATGAGATCAACAAACTCTCCTAAAATCAACTTATTTTATGGAGGTGAGTTAAATGTGGGTATATTCACATGTGTGTTATTGCCACTACAGACATTTAAAAAAGATATGTATTGATTTAATCCTATCTTCATGCCTTGTTAAAAGTTAACGGATTATCATTATATGGATTTTTATTGTTTAATAACTTTAAAGGGATAGTGAAAAAATGAAAATTCTGTTATTAATTACTCACCCTCATGTCGTTCCAAACCCGTAAGACCTTTGTTCATTTTCGGAACACAGATTAAGATATTTTTGATGAAATCCGAGAGCTAGAGAAAGGTAGTAAGGACATAGTTAAAATTGTCCATGTGACATCAGTGGTTCAACCGTAATGTAATGTAGCTACGAGAATACTTTTTGTGCTAAAAGACAACAAAAATAACAACTTTATTCAATGATTTCTTCTCTTCCGGGTCAGTCTCCACCACCATTCACGAGAGTACCATGATGCATGCGTGTGGTACTGCTGACGCAGGAGCCGGCATTCTGACATAGAACACACATGCGCTACGCCTTGTTTGCAAGCAGAGGAATGCACACGCATGCGTAGTGGTACTCTCGTGATTGCGCTATTCTGCTATGGTCCATTGTTAATGAAGATGAAAAAACAGTGCCTCAGGTAACAGGAGAACATTTTTTTTTCTGTTGAAACATGTACTCCTTCAGCACACTAAAGAATAAACAAGCAGGTACAATAACATGTATAAAAGACTTCACTGTGATTCACAGTCCATAGCCTAAGGCAATAGCAGAGTCCTTGACCAACAGAAAAGTGTGTGTGCTTTAGGTGCTCTTGGACGGAGGATTCCACTGAGCAGCTCCAGACCTGGAGAATATCATGTCATACACCCACAGAAACTTCTAGATGGCAAGGTGAGACCAAGGCAGAACAGCATATTACCATATTACTCATACTATTGTTGCAGTATGTATTATTTTTTACAAAGTAGCATACAATGTACACTATCAGCTACATACAAATTGTCTATGCAATTTCCATACAAATCATACAAATTTTAATCTGCAAATATCTAGCGTAGCGTTAGTTCTGGCAAGTCACGTTAGTCAAGCTCGGATCAGCTGACTCTCAGCTGATCCTCCATCAACCTGTGGGAATACAACACCTATCTAAGCATTCATATATAAGGTCCCTCAGTATTATCAGCAGATTTCGCATTGCTCAATAGCTAATTAAATGGCGAATTCGGCAGACAAAACACCATCAGCAGGAATCGGGAATTTAGAGAAGTGGAATTCGCTTCCCCAATGGTCTCACCTCCGATTCATTCAAGTTCGTTAACTTGAACACGTTAACTTGATTATAAGCTGCCTGATTCGGAAGTGACTGAGTTAGCATTATTTCACGCATCGCTACATTATTGTCATGGACTCCACAAGTTATGTGACTGACTCAAGAACAAGTTCAGATGGGAACTTCATCCCAAGAAGGATATCAAGAGATCAAGCATCCACTTCACAGCTGCTATGTTTCGCTCTCTCGAACGTCTTCACAAGCTAAGTTCCATTTAATGCTCTCAGGTTATCTGCAACATGCGTGTTGCTTGGGCTCATTAAGTTGTTTTTAGTTAAATGCTTGTGCTAGTTCATGCGAATGTGCGGTACTTATCTGTTGTCACTGGCAACACGCTTGTCCTTGCAATATGCTGCACTTAACGGGGGTCTAATGTCATTTCATGCATTCTGAGTTATTTACACTGTTAAGAGTTGGATTCTTATACACGTGCGCGCACTCAGCGACCCAAGCAAGAGCGCACCGCTTAAAGGGATAGTTCACCCAAAAATGAAACTTTGATGTTGATCTGCTTACCCCCAGGGCATCCAAGATGTAGGTGACTTTGTTTCTTCAGTAGAACACATTTGATGATTTTTAAGTCCAACCGTTGGAGTCTATCAATCTTATAATGAATGGCAATGGTAACAAAATCTATGAGGGTAAAAAAAACATGCACAGACAAATCCAAATTAAACCCTGCGACTCGTGACAACACATTGATGTCCTAAGACACGAAATGATCTGTTTGTGCCAGAAACCAAACAGTATTTATATAAATTTTTACCTCTAATTCACCACTATGTCCAACTGCTTTGAGCACGTGCAGGCATCCGGTGCGTGAGGTGTGTACGTGCTCTGGCGTACTTTACGCAAGCGCCGGAAGTGATCTCTCGCCCGTATATGTCACTCATTGTTTACACAGTGCACAGTCATTGTAGGTACGACGGCTAATCAAAATGGTACTTACTTGCGCTTATCCGGATTGTTCAAACCGACTTAAAACTAAAAGATTACGTTCTCTCGCGCCAACTCATTCGGGAGTTATGACTTTCCACGTATTCCCCCACTTCTGAGCCTGCTCGCCTGAAGTTATGGTTGATTGCTCTTTGGCTGGATATCAACACACTGTGACGAGTCGGCTGCCTCGCCCTAATTATCAGCATCACCCCGTCCCTTAATCGCCGCCCTTCGCCAGGCTCCCGACATGAGTGGGTGCGTGAGAGAGGAGGGGCGCTGAAATAGCCAGGGCTGGTGGCGTGTGATGGGGCACACCTGAAACGAAGAGAGCCTCATCACTGCCGCTGTTTAAATGGGAGACCGGTCTCTTCCCCGTGCATGCACGCTGGTGTCCTCGTGGGTCCAGGAGGGGTGCGTAGAGGGACTCCCGTGCCGCCAGAGTCGTGAGCTGCCGGACCCGCAGTCCGGACGAGAACCGCACCCGTTACACGGCCGT